TATATATATATATATATATATAGATTTGTGTGTGTCTTGTGTGTGTGTGTGTCTGTGTGTGTGGGGGCGGGGGCTCTCTCTCTCTCTCTCTCTTATATATATATATATATATATATATATATATATATATATATATATATATATATATATATATATATATATATATATATATATATATATATATATATATATATATATATATGGTTTCTTGATTTGTGAAACAAAATCTTGAAGATTCCAGAATAAATTATCAAAAAATAATAAGTTTTAGTAATAAAAATAAAGTCAGACACACAAGTCCAACCAGAGTCTATAATGCATGACATAAATAAGTAACAATATGCAAATAGTTAAAGTGAATTTTTGTAAACAACAAATTCAACCCCAATATAATTCTAAATTGTAAAAGCGATTAATTGTCTATAATTCTAAATTGTGAAGCTTCCCTCCATTTCAATCGAAAGCGGATACGGTCAAAGTTAGGCAACAATGCAGATTCCGACCACTTCTTCACCCCTTTTAAAGGCTGCCAGCGACAAATACGAAACAAACCATTCAAAAAAGACACAAGTGAAGGTACATGAACAAAACTCAATCGCAAAAAATCTACCACAATTGGCTTATTATTACCACCACCATTAATAACATCTTGCTCTAGTATATCTTGTTCAACGTGCATATCGCCAATGGCGAGATGGAAAACACTCAGTAAAACTACAGAATTACATAAAGCCTGGACCAATTTACTTAGTCCGAGGAACCATGACCGAGCACCACCTGCGTAATCCCGAATATACAGTTTCAGAATTGACTCCACGGAAGTTGGTGCGAAAGTGACGGATGGCATAAAACATCCTGAATAGTAAAAATACTCTATGTTTGGGGCATCGATACATAGCTCAGATTGTTCGATTGAATCGCTAGAGAATATTTCCACCATGTCTAGACACAAAGTCTTTAGATTATCGAACTTATGGATGTGAAACCTAATCTTACTGCCTATAATCTCCATTTTCTCAAGACTTGGGAAATCGATTTCAACGCAACATTCGTCTATTCTTGGAGTGTTGCGATTAATAAAACTGAATTTCTTGAGATATTTGAGAAGCTTCTTCTCCAACTTTATATTTTTCAAACCTTTACACTCTCTAAACCACATAGTAGTAAGCAAAGGGCAGCTCGAGACTATCTTTTCAAAAATCTCTTCCTCCATCAAGACATTTTGGAGACGAAGTACTTGTAGACGCACAAATGGTATATTCTCGGGAATATTCTGTCCCAAATTGCACCTATTCAGATGCAAATACTCGAGCGAATCGGCTTTAAAGACTACTGACGACAGATCGGTAATTCCTGGAGTACGATCCGAAATAATAGAGAGAGAAAACTCCTTTACGCCCATACCTGTGAGTAATGGGACCCATTTCTCGAGAAGCAGAATCTATTCGTGATGCGAATAATCTTTGCCTAGCAGCGATGCATAAAGGCGAAATTTCTCCAAGGACAAACCTTGTTTGTTTCCTTTGAAGTTGATGTCGGAAAAATCAAGATTGGGACGAGTGCACCAAACGTAGCGCCATGATTTGGACAAGACAGATGTTCGGACAGCATCTTCTTGAGAGAGAAAATACAATATTCTATGCAAGATGTCTTTTGGCAAATCCGATATTCTGTCCATCGACATGTAATTACAGTCTTTCCCCTTGGCTTTTTTCATGCCTCTAACAATTACTAGTGAATTTTTCTAACACGGAAAAGTGAAAACCCTAGTTTATAATAAAATCCCCTTCAATCCTAAGATTTGGTTTCTTATAAAATCACGAGCAAACAATCTTGAGGTTAGGAAGATGCCTTTTATATTCTTCTTTTTCATTTTTAGTACTTTAAGGTCTCGTTTGGGTACCAAGATAAATTTAAATAACACAATCGCATTATGCGGTCAAGAAAGACCAAAAAACCGTCGAGAATAGTTTTCCGGACTGTTTCAGACCATCAGGAAACCGTCAAGAAAAAAGGCGTCATATATACTTTTACATGTAAACTAGCAAGCACCACGTGTATTGCACGTGATGATGTGTGATTTTACTTATTACATAAATTTATAATTAAAAAAATTAAAGTTAGATATGATATATAAAAATAAAATAAAAAATTAAGTAAAATCAAGCAAGTACAAAAAATAATGTACAGATTATGTATTTATATAATGATGAAATACTACTATTTTAAAAATTGAAATGAACAAGAATATAAAAAGAAGAAAAAAATAACTAAAATATTTTTTTTTTATATATTATTTCATAAATAACCACATAAATTTTTCTGTGATTTTAGTGATAGTTGAAACAATTTTATGGTAACGAGATTTTTACATAAATATTTTTTGTTACTTATGTTACGTCTCCTTGGTCAAAATGTTGACACTTTAAATTTGAATATTAATTAATCTTCTATTTGTGACAACTGTCATAATATTATGTATTTAAATATGACAATAATTTTCTTAAATAAATTATATTTACTTTACAGATGTTAAAATAGTTGAAATTTTAATGTTGGAAGGTACATTGATAAAACATATTATATTATCTAATAGTATATAAAATAAAGCGAAAAATGTATTTTCAAGATCGAAATTAGTAATACCAAATGAAAGAAATGGATTATGAAATATTAATAATTAAAAAAATAGGGAGCGAGAGACAACTCCATACAAAATGACATATTTATTCAGTAATATCTTGAGTTAGTCAATTACAAATGAGCCGATGCAACTTGTGAGCTTGATGAGCCGGCTCGACAAAAACTCGTGCTCAAATTCGAGTCTTTCGAGCTTGAGCATTCTGATGTGTTCGAGCTCGAACACGTCCTTAATTGTTCATAAGCTCAAGAGCCGGCTCACAAGCTTTTCTGCAAATATATATATTTTTTTAATATAAATTCAACTTGTATATAATAATAAATATATGTATAGTTAAATGATAAATTTTGTTTTTATTTTTACATAAATTGTTTTTTATATATTATAAATAATTTATAATAAAATATGATATTATCATTATGTAGGAATAATAAAAATAAAATAAAAGAATAATAAAATGAGTTAAGCTCGAGGTTGACACGCTCAACTCGGCTTGTACTCGAGCTTAAGTTCGAGCTCATAAAATGAAATTCAGACGAGATCGAGCCGAGCTCGCCAAATTTGACTGGAGCTCGAGCTCGAAAAATCTGGCTAGCTTAATTTGTGCATAATTTATAGGTAAAACCTAATTTGACTTGAACTTGGCTCGAGCTCAGCTCGTTTACAACCCTATGTTATACTATCCAATTTAACTATCGATAGGTAATAATTAGTGCATAATTTATGATCTTATTACTACCTTGGTGTTGTAATATCTTCATCATACTAATTTTTTGTTACTCTTGAAATTGAGATATGTTCTGTGAGTGGAGTCATAAAAATAAAATCCAATTTTTTTTATCAAAGACCCATAAAAAAAGAGTTATTAAGAAAATTTTATTAAAATATCAATGTGAATGATTGATTACCTTTTAATACTACAAGGTGCTATTAATTGTTTTGGAAGCTGCAAAGTTCACATATGGTACATTTCGAGAGTGTAAAGTTATATATACTAGTAATTGTACCCGTGCGATGCACGGGACAACAAATTGCATTGTTTTGATGTTGTAAGAATATAAACAAACGTTTGATGTATCGTATGATCAAAATTCTATTATACTGAAACATTATTAAGTATACTACACCCAAAAAAAAGGACATAACTTTACTGTTGAATAATTTTCCAAATGAATTGAATCAGCTAATACCAGTAGATTGAAAATTTGAAACAGGAAAAAAATCATCAATTATGTCTTTCATGTTGAGCTTCAAAGTAATTAGATTTAATAACTAAGTTAACATAATCAAAACTAAACTATCGACAACATACCATCGTAAAAGGCCATCTATACATCTTGCATCGGAACTAAGCCCTTCTCCACTGCCTCATTTTAAGGCTGTTTTGCCACTGGAATTAATAATTGGAAAATTAAGAAACAAAAATAAATACAAACGATAAATTAAATATCGCATACAAACAATAAGTCTTGAAGGTCGACTTCCAATAGCTTGTGGCTCGCCCATTTTTGTTTAATTTTCTCAAATCATCCCTTTTAATAACATGTCCAATAACATATAAATGAAATAATTGTTATACATAAAATTTGAAAACTTAGGTATAAATTAATGAAACACATAATTTAACAAAATGAAATTACCAATAAGCCATGATGGAAAAAGATGTAAACTAATTGCCACACAGTCAATAGGATGAAGAAGAAGATAAGAAACAAAATCTAAACTCGGGTTACCAAAAGAAGAAGCCTTAGATAGGGAAGATATAAAATTCAAATGTTGCAGACATTCTGTAAAACGATGTCACAAAATCCGCTAGGGATGAAAATCAGATTTATTTACCCTTTTCTGTAAAAATCGAAAATCAGATTGTTATAAATAAGATCTAGGAGAATTTGATGAAAATCGATAATAATATTTAAAATAATATTTAGGAGATAAAAATTTGATAAAAAAATCAAAAAATAATATTTAGGAGATAAAAATCTGATAAAAATCGAAAATAAAATTTAAAATAATAGTTAGGAGATAAAAATTGATAAGAAATCGAAAATAATATTTCAAATAATGTTAATGAGATAAAAGTTGATAAAATATGAAAATAATAATTAGAATAATATTTAGGATATAAAATATGATTAAAATCATTCCGTAATAACTCCACTTCCACATTCATACCACTCCTCGGTATTATATTGAACCATATAGGTTTCCTTGATTGCTTCAAGCGTATATTGACCAAACTGATGAATTGTATTATAAAGATGTTTAGGTATGTTTCTACATAAATAATCTTTAGCACATATAAGATCATTTCCAATTAATAGTTTGATTAAGTTAGGTGTCTCATAAAATATATTAGACTCATCGAATTTTGTAGTTCGATCTTCAATATTCATCTGTAACTGAAAATTATTATTTAAAATAATATTTAGGAGGTAAAAATTTGATAAAAATCGAAAATAATATTTAGGAGACAATAATCTGATAAAAAACGAAAATAATATTTAGGAGATAAAAAACTAATAAAAACATGATAAAACTCGAAAAAAATATTTAAAATATTATTTAGGAGATATATATTTGATAAAATTCGAAAATAATATTTAGGAGTGAAAAATCTGCTAAAAGTTGAAAATTATATTTAAAATTATAGTTAGGAGATATAAATTTGATAAACTTAAAAAAAAATATGATTTATAATAATATTTAGGAGATAAAAATTTGATAAAAATAGAAAATAATATTTAGGAGACAAAAATCTGATAAAATAAAAAATAATATTTAAAATAATATTTAGGGGATACAAATATGATAAAATTCGAAAATAATATTTAAAATAATATTAAGGAGATAAAAATTTGATAAAAATTGAAAAAAAATACAAATATGACATTAGGGTTTCTTAGGGTTGCCGTAGCGTTTCTTTCTTTTATATATAAGATATCTATAAGATAAAAAATTGATGAAAATTGATAATAATATTTAAAATAATATTTAGGAGATAAAAATTTGATAAAAAATCAAAAAATAATATTTAGGAGATAAAAATCTGATAAAAATCGAATATAAAATTTAAAATAATAGTTAGGAAATAAAAATTTGATAAAAATCGAAAATAATATTTCAAATAATGTTAATAAGATAAAAGTTGATAAAATACAAAAATAATAATTAGAATAATATTTAGGAGATAAAATATGATTAAAAGCAAAATTATTATTTAAAATAATATTTAGGAGATCAAAATCGAAAATAATATTTAGGAGACAATAATCTAATAAAAAACAAAATTAATATTTAGGAGATCCAAAAACTAATAAAAACATGATAAACTCGAAAAAAGTATTTAAAATATTATTTAGGAGATATAAATTTGATAAAATTCGAAAATAATGTTTAGGAGATAAAAATCTGCTAAAAGTTGAAAATTATATTTAAAATTATAGTTAGGAGATATAAGTTTGATAAAATTAAAAAAATATTATCTATAATAATATTTAGGGGATAAAAATAAAAAAATAATATTTAGGAGACAAAAATCTGATAAAAATAAAAGATAATATTTAAAATAATATTTAGGGGATACAAATATGATAAAATTCGAAAATAATATTTAAAATAATATTAAGGAGATAAAAATTGAAAAAACAATTACAAATATGACATTAGGGTTTCTAAGGGTTGCCCTAGCGTTTCTTTTTTGATAAAAATCGAAAATAATATTTCAAATAATGTTAATGAGATAAAAGTTGATAAAATACAAGTAATAATTAGAATAATATTTAGGAGATAAAATATGATTAAAATCAAAATTATTATTTAAAATAATATTTAGGAGATAAAAATCGAAAATAATATTTAGGAGACAATAATCTGATAAAAAACAAAATTAATATTTAGGAGATAAAAAAACTAATAAAAACATGATAACTCGAAAAAAATATTTAAAATATTATTTAGGAGATATAAATTTGATAAAATTCGAAAATAATATTTAGGAGATAAAAATCTGCTAAAAGTTGAAAATTATATTTAAAATTATAGTTAGGAGATATAAATTTGATAAAATTAAAAAA